ATTAAAGTCTTAAAACCTTTTTCTCAGTCAAATTTCGAAACGCTTATGACACAGTAACCATTATATTTCACAATCATCAGACTGTTCGATCTATTGCTGAATAAAGGCTTGCAGACCTTCAGATGGCTATGATCAGGTTAACTTCATTATCTAGCTGTTAGTTCACTTGTCTCTAGCTCTCTTTCTGAGCCACTTCTAGGATGACATCAAATTGATAGCGTTTCAGATGTTTACAGCAACTGAAAGGGTAGTGGGAGCAGAAACTTCGATTGGCAATCTCACCAATGCCAAACGGGGCAGTAGTGGATAAAACTGAGTAACTTGTCCCGTCACCTCGAAAACTTACAGACATTGACTATTTACAAACGCCAATGGAGAGGGAACTTCGCTGAGAAAAGTTCTCATGTCCTCAGGCTTACGTAGCATAACTGGATCGCGGTGCTGCCGGCATATTTCCAACGAATGTCGGAGTATAACCGCAGTAGCCGTTGGCGACGAGTGGGTGAAAAGTGCTGGTAAGAAGCACAATGCCTGCAGCACGCCGGCCTACCTATACGGTAATGAATACAATTTCAGGTAGCCTATGCGTAGGAATTTTCTGAGGCATGTAAAGGATCCGAACAAGCACCCAACCGAACGAAGAAAGCACTTAACACGATTGAAGGTCAGCGATTGTCATGGGCCTTCGATCATATGAAGATATTAACAAAGATATTTGATCAGGTTTTTGGAACTGATTGACATTCAGATGGTAAGAGTAAAATTGAGTAATGTAGTAAAACCCGAAATGAGTTACCACCGCAAACTGACGGTTCCGCAGATTGTTCAGAGTTGACGAGACTGGAATTGCCTAGAATGGCGTCTGTTGATTAACGAGACCTTCTCCGATTCAATTTCTCTGTTATTGCTGCGAAATGCCAAGCCACATGTAGCCTTCAAAGTGCACTCTATGAGGGTTTTCCGTAAACGGAAATTCATTTGACTTACGAAATGATTCACATTGCATTTTGAAAAATAAAATCTTATATAAAACTGCTTTTAGGTCTCGCCAGAGATCAGCTGTGTCGAAGATACCCACGAATGATCGCATGCCGATCGGTTCCAGTCGCCAACGTGAATTTTTTACAGGGCGTTTTAAAAGATGATACCATGGGGGAAAATGACAACGACGCTGACTATTGCAATCAGTACCAGCCACGTTTCACTTACTACTGTACTAGTTCGAGTACGTCGAGCGATGTTTTACCGTTCTGCCAGAATTTTCTTCAAGAGTGCGACGTCTCTCATATTCCACAATCTTTCGGAGGTTATGAGAGGGAAACGACGAACCCTGTGACTGAAAGTACCTCATCGTTGTGCCGCCGTTTTGCAGCAGAAGCCGAGATGTTCTGCACGGGAGACGAACCTCATCAGCTGAAGGAGACGTGCGATTTGTACCGAATGCATTGTAAGGGCGAACGTGTCGTCGGCGCAGAATCGGCGTCGTCCCCCGCCCCTGCTGTCCGGATGATTAAAAGTGAACCTTACTGTAAAAACAACTCCGATGCCTACAAGTCGTTTTGTCACAACAACCCGTCGTCTACCGAGATACAGTTCTGCAGGCATTTCGCCATGCGTTGTCCCCGAGAGAAACAGCTGTTGGAAACGCCTCCCGTTAAGCTAAAGCCAATCAGCAGCGACATGATGAGAGCGGCGATGTTGCCAAATTTGGACGCTGTTTGCCAGAGCCTCAAATGGATGGGTCAGTCGTTGTGCAAGGGCTACGAGACACAGGACATGCGCCAGTACTGCAACGTTTACCGTGTCTACTGCCTTCAGGAGAAACCGTTTCCGATCATTGACGGTACCATCAAGGTGACATCTAATGATTGGTCCGTTGCTGGTATTCCGTACTACCCATTTAACTCCGCCGGTCGCATTGCAGGCGGAGACGTGGTGAACGTCGACTTCGGTGACTGGGGTGCTAGGGTTGGCACTGGTATTTATGTAACTGATTTCTGGAGCGACGGCGAAGTGATCAACGCCAATTGGCAGAAAGGCAATTATGGGCACAGTTCAGGATGGGGAATCCCCGTCATTGGCTTAACCGGTTTCGAGGACAACGTCATAAAATTGGGTGGCTTGGCGAATCCTTCTGACCATCCGTTTCTTCTCCTTGGTGGTGTGCCTCCGCCGGCGCCCAAAACCCACAAAACTGGCATAACATCTCGAACTACTGTTTCTGACACTGAAGGTGAAACCAAGGCTTCAGAAGCCCCTCAAGAAGCGGTTCCTTCAATGCTCAGTAGCGGAAGCGGACTTTCGGTTGGAAATTTGAACATGCAACAGCAGACATCAGTTGGCTTTGGAGGAACGCCATCAGACCCGGCATTCATGTCTCTCGGAAAACAAACAAATATGGCCGGTTTTGGAACAAGGCAGGGACTCGCCATTGGACCAAGGGGCAATCCATTCGAAAAAATAGAAGCACCGATGTCCATTTATACCCGTATTGGAAGGGTGCCAAACGTAGGAGGTCTGATTCCCGGAACTCCTTTAGGATATGCCAATTATCATGAAGCTCAAGGTATACCAAACGAAAGCTCTCCTTAAAATTTTGATATTTGAAGCAAACCGCGTTAAGGCAGAGCAGTGCTGTAATTCGGCGTCACTAAAATGATCAGACAATATGATATCAAAAGAAGAATGTTTTTCGTTCTGTTTTTTTCTAATATACAATGTATGAAATAATGGATCGTTTCATCATATCAGATGTTATTTATATAATGTTTTTGTATATGTTCTCTGTAATTACTTAATTTGTACTGCTTTTGCAATTGTATATTGAAGTCGAACTGTAAATGAACGTGATTTTGAATTCAGTCCACTAGTTTCACTTAGTATTGACGAGGAGGTCTGTTCATTGATTGATTGGCACATGGGTATTTGAAACGCGAGAGCACCCTCACCGTAAACCTTGAAGCTTTGGCATGGCCGTAGAGATCGCCATTACTCCTTATTCATTAATATGGTCTTGCAGGTCTTTTATGAACTCAACGAGGTTCAGCTAATGACAGATCGTTTGACGGAATTGAAATCCTTTTTACCTTTTAAGGAAGTTGGAACACACTTTATGGAAATTGAATGGCGTTCCGAAGGATAAAATGAAATGGTCAATTGCTCAATCATTTAAGATTTGCTGATGGCGCCGTGTTATTTGCGGATAACTTCCGTCAGTTGAAAGGCATGCTGCAAGAATTCAAGAGAAACAGTGCAAAAGTCAGACGGCAAATCAACAGGTCAAAGTCTAAGATGCCACGATCGGATGCCCTGCCGAAAAAGCAAGTAAAATTCAATGGTGAAAATGTCGAAAAGGTGTATAAATAAATATACGTAATAGTAGTGGTTATCCGCAAGTAAATAGACAAAGCTGGGTTTATCGGACGCATGCATTTGGAATAAGCAACTGCAGAAACTTTTTCTGATCTTATTTATGAGTGCAATGATTTATTGAATTTAAATCATTTAGTTGTTTGTGGACCAAAAACGCTCAGCTCTATATTGCTGGGTTTAAGCGACGGCTAAATTAATAAGAAACGGTGCAGGATTTTGAAGAGAAGGAAGAATCTTGACTCGTTGAGTGTCGCAAATTTTCATAATACGTATGAGGCGTGGTAAGCACAATCAAAGGAAGGTATTAGCAGCAACGCAGCGCCGTATAGTTGATAAACATTATCTTCAACTTCTCAATTTTAATTGAACATACGATTTTAGAAAGGTCATCAGAATTAGGGCATCAAAGACAGTCTTGAAGTGGGTGGTATAAACTGTTCGAAATAGAAGGGATTGACAACGCAGTTTTACAGCACCAACAATCCAGAAGTAAACACGGTGCCATAAAAAAGGGTTCATATAGTAATAGCATTAAGCAAATATTTATTATTTTTCATTGCTTAAAACAAAACCATAAACAAGCGTATTTCAGTAAAGTCTAAGGAGAATATGATTTCTTACTTTACAGACAGCTACAAATAATGGGATACGACCCGAAATAGGCAAGTTTTGTTCTCGCCATATGGACATGGTACTTCTATGTACTTCGATTGATATTGCAATAACGAATCATGGGAATTGTCATATAGAACAATGTCTCAAAGTTAATTTGACTGATATAACAATACTTCCGTAACGAGAAATAAAATATGGTTACAGCAGTTCTGATTGTTTACCACTCAATGCATTTGCGTCATTTATTTTAATGATGCTGAAATGCAAGACATTTCTGAGATCCTATTTATTGAGCAAACATTAAGTGTTGATTGTGAAATTAGGTAGCTGTACCAAGATATATTACGTAATTTATGCTGAGAAGCGATAAGTATTTTCAATCATAAAATCTTCTATATTCAGATAGATAATTAGTTTCTGGGGGTGGCGGCACAGTGGCAAAGAGATTTGCTTGGAATTTCGGATGTGCCTCTGAAAGGACAATATTTGCATTAACCGCGAGTTTTCTTGAGAAAAAATTACTTCATGGTGCTCTGTTTGAATCAGTCGAGAAACAGGTAATAAGTAGTTGAGAATAATAGAGACAGCATGGTATTCTTGTGTGGTCATATCAGAATGAACATGGTCTATGGCCATGATATATGAATGAATGCCGTTTGTGGCTGCACTTTGCCGTGACTCATCTGAAAGCTGACTTAATATTCTTTTTAAAGCATGCTTCCTTTAATAGTGATCGGGATCGAGTGCTAATGATGGCTAACTACCCAATGTGATAGTTGGCATAACGTTCATCTTCGATTTAGATGTCAATTTGGGGTTAAACCTAACGATCAGTATGTATACTGTATATTAACGTCGCGTAGACGCGCTCGTGTGAACCTAATCGAAGATGTTTTTCGAGTCTTCCCAAGTTGC